AACCTTTGTTTGGTGGGATGGAATTTTGAAATCTGAATCAGAATTAGAAATGATTACATTAAATTTGAATTGAAACTTCTTTCATAAATTTCTAACCCAATGCCCCAATTTAGTGACAGGAAGACAGTGTAATTTGAAGTCGAACAAAATTATTTCTAACCCATATTGGAAGATCCAACTACTTGTTGCTAAATGCAGTTCAATGGAAGTTTACATTTGGGCTTTCTTTCAGTTGATTTAAATTTGCATTTTGGCTTCTGTACGTATGTTTGGTATCTATTGTCTGCACAAGCGTCTGCTAATTTGAGTAATGTATCGATCGAATGCTTGTTTTTTAGAATTGTAGTTATTGGAATAATGTTTTCCTTTCTGTGTATTTTATTCTTTGAGTAAGATTTTTTCCATGCTATAGGCTTTTTAATGGAATTTATATGAAACTTTGGATCCTTTTATTTATAAGAAAGTGTTAAGCTTGGGTTACTGACCAGAAGTTCTGTTCATATATTTGTGCTGTAGATCAAGTTTTTAAAGGGTTAGGGTGTATGTGATTGAAGAAATATAGGACTGGTCGTTGAAAGAGGTGTTGGATTTTGTAATATTTCTCGATCATATGATTTTATTGCATTTTTCTTATTGGATATGAACGTGATTTCGTATTCTAAAGGTTAAAACTTAAAATATGAAAATAATGATCAATAAATAGATTGGTCTAAGAGGTCACCTAATAAGATTTTTCAAGACTTAGTATAATATTAGATTTCGAAAAGTTTAAACAAGCAATTCGACCATTTAAAATTCAAATAAACAATCGGATTCGAAGATTGGTGTTCTCTAACAAGTCACTATCTTTCAGATTAAATCGTAGGTAAAAATTCATATGGCTTCACTATGAAAATTATAAATAACACATAACGATTTGGGCTATCCATGTTAACAAGTTGACCTTTTAAAATGGAATATCAAGTTTAATGCTTTAATTTATAAAATTTTATTGAGTTTGCCTTATACAATGAGTCTTTATTTTAAATTCATTTTTTAATTTGATGCAGATTAAACTGTTACCAAGAGTTATGAATTCATGATTAAATGTTTCTTCTTGTAATTAAACCATCTGGGCAGCTGAATATTGTGCTAAAGTACTGAAATTTAAATTTGTCAGTGCCTACTGTTTTTATGGTTAAGGTATTGTTGCTTTCTTGTGTTTGAGCAATGTCTGGAACTAGAAATATCATTCCCACAATGAATCCTGTCAAATTTACCCACTGGACCAATGGGGCCATTTCTGGTTCTCATGAACCAACATTGGTCTGGGGTGGGTAAAACTGCTGTGGCTGAGGGATTGGCTCAAAGAATTGTTAGTGATTCTTAGTAATCTTGCTCATGTTAGGCTTATAGCATTGAACATGGGAGTTTTAATAGTTGGAGCAAAATCCAAGGGGATTTTGAAGTGAGGATGAAGGTGTTTTAATGAACTTGAAGAAGCTGAAGAAAGTGATTCTATTTATTGACTTCTCTGAATTTTTGGCCCCTTAAGAGTTGACTTACTCTAGTTCCTCCCATGTATAGATGGATATATAAAATTAAAGTATGAAGTTCCTCATTTCATATGTGCCATTAAATTTGTTTTTATTTTTAAATTAGATGCATGCGATCAAATCTACATAATCACACTTCCTGATCGAGGAAAATACCTTCCCACCACAAACACGCGGTAGTTAGGTTTCCTTGTCTGTTCAAGCTATGATTCAAATTTCAAAGCCAGCAGATCTACAGTGCCACCTTTGTTAGTAGTCTAAGGAAATTGGTTGGTGGGAAGGTTAAATGTTAGAGCCCAACAAATGCTAGAGAAAGTCAAATTAGAATTATTACGTTAGGTTAATTAAAATCCACTTTGGGATAATTTTCATTTGTCTTGTTTCTCTCATAAGTTCTAAGATATGGCCCAATAAGTCCATTAAAAAGGAACAAAATTAGCCCTCTTTGACTCCTTTTAAAACAAAATAATTTATTTCTTGTACTCATTTCTAACTACACATTTACGCAATAAAGCCTCTGCTTGGGCTCCATTTTATCAAAAATGCATTTTTCTCTCTCCTCTTTTTAACAACACATTCTCCAATCAAATAATATTACACATAAATTCTAAAATTTTCATTTTTTTAACCACACATTTTGTACGTAAACCCAAAACTTTTATCCACTTTAACCATATATTCTAAAAAAGATCACTATTCAAAACATAATTTTTACACGATAATGGTCATCGGCCTTAATTCGGCCTGGATAGGGAACTTCAAAGAAAGAGGAACTTCTCCAGCTAGGTTTTACATCTATTTACGAGCTCCACTGTGCATCAAGTTTTCTCTCTGCAGCCACTTCATTCATTCTCAGGTTTCTATTGGGTCCTGCCTTTCCAATCTATTGTATTTGTATTTATTTTTTTCCCTAAATAAGTTCGTTTGTTGAATTGAAGGTAGAATGTAGTTTCTCTGTGTCGTTGGTGGTTCTTTTTTGAATTTTGTACGCTTCTCTTATTGTATGCTTTGAGTAGTTTTCTATTATTTTTGTATGACAATGTAAATCTGTATGCCAGTCTGATCCCCGATACAGATTAAGAATCGCTATTTCATCTATTGTAAGCATTTAAATTAGAATGTCCCTTTTTTTTGTGGTAGATTTGAATCTAGAGACAGAATCTTGAACTTTTTATATTGTTTTGACTGTCAATATTTATTTATTTGCTGCTAATCTATTTTATCTGTTTGAGGAAGATTTGGGAATTTTAAATGTAATCAAGAATGCGGCAAAATATTCTTATCTTGTTTATGTATAAATGGTCTTGTAAAATTAAAGTATAATCAAACTCGCCCTTTAATTTGTTTTTGTTTTTAATTAGATGCATGCTATCGGAATCTGTTTTCTGCGTTTCTGATCTGTAAAAAGTACCTTACCACAACAAATATGCGGCACTATGGTTTCTGCGTCTAAGGAAACTAGGAATCAAAGCGAGGATGAGCACAAGAAGATTGTTTAGATGGAAGGTTAGAACTTAGTTGCTAGGGTACAATCAAATTAGTGAATACAACTAGAATTATGCCTTTAGGTTAAATACATTCCACTTCAGGCTAATTGTCCACTATAGTTTGTTCATTATTTCGCATACTAGTCTATTTTCCGTATATAAAGGAGAAGAATGCTGATTGTTCATTCAATAGATGTGATGAAGAATTATAATTACTTTTGCTAATTTTATGGCGTGTTCGATAGATATTAAAATTGGATTAAAATTGAAAAATTAGTCGTTATTGTTGATTTTTATTAGACGAGTGGGATCCAATAATGGCTATATTTTCAATTTTAATTGGATTTTAAGCTTAGCCAAACATGCTCTTAAAGTAAAGAAACGTATTTTTGAATTGTTGTTCCCTTTCAAAAATCAAATTGGGCATCAATTAATGTTCACTGTTTTATATGGTTAGCCCATCCAGTTATTCCTTTTCCAAGTTCCAGCTGCCGGAGTACACAGCAGCACAACCTACTTAATACCACACCTGGCAACTTCAAGCTGACCACCGAGGTTTGGATATTTTATTTTTATTCTTCTTAATTTTGATAACTTGTTACTTGTGCAACTTGTGGTTTTCATCTTCTGAATATTGAAGTAGAATACGTTTTTTGGGTGGATCGAAATGGTGAAAAATTCAACCTTTGTTTGGTGGGATGAAATTGTAAAATCTAAATCAGAATTAAAAATGATTTTTTTTAAAATAAATTTCTAACCCAATGCCCCAATTTAGTGACAGAAAGACGGTGTAATTTGAATTCGAACAAAATTATTTCTAATCCATATTGGAAGACCCAACTACTTAATGTTAAATGCAGTTCATGGAAGTTTACATTTGGGTTTTCTCTCGGATGATTTATGTTAATAATTGAGGTTCCATCTTAGAAGGTCAATCTTATTAAGAGGAGTAGCTCAATCTTTTATTCGATGTGAGATTATATCCCTTAACATGCCCTCGTAAGATGTTGGCTCATTTGAACAGAACAATCTTGAAATCCGTATGCTCACTTTTTGAAGTCTTAATCGGATCGAATTGTTCGTTAGAACTTAATGGACTCTGATATCATGTTAATAATTGAGGTTCCATCTTAGAAGGTCAATTTTATTAAGAGGAGTAGCTCAATCCTTTATTCGATGTGGGATTATATCTCTTAACAATTTTAAATTATGAAAAATCTCCTTCCCACCACAAATGCATGGTACTTAAATTTCCTTGTCTATTTAAGCTATGATCCAAGGCCAGCAGATCTACTGTGCTACCTGTGTTAGTAGTCTAAGGAGATTGCTTGGCTGGAAGGTTAAATGCTAGTGGCCAACAAATGCAAGAGTAAGTCAAATTGGAGTATAAGATTAGAATTATTCCTTTTCGTTAATTACAATCCACTTTAGGCTAATTGTCAATTGCAATTTGTTCTAAACTCGGAATATTAGTTTATATTTAATAGATCATGAAGAAGAATGCCAATTATTCGTTCAATAGCTGTGATGATGAGTACTTGTCTAATTGTTTCCTAATTGTAGGTAACTCAATGTTATTACAGGATACCTTTTTGTTGATAGCTTTGAACAATCAGTTTGAGAACTTTATTTTGTCACTTGTTGAAATGTGCATTTGATGTGTTTGAAATTTACGCTTTTGCAGGATTCAAAAATCAAGCATGTCATTGTGGTTTCATGAAATTCAATTTTAAAACTTGCAAAATCAAGAGAGCCAGCAAGCTTTAATACTCACTTGTTTAAAACCTCAAATTGGGCCTCTGCTCGTTATACCGAAGTTTGGATACAGATCACATCAAAATTGCAGGCCCAAATATAAACATAGCCAGCCTGCTGCATAACCCATGAAAGATGTTTGTCATCTACAGAATCTCCCCCTCCCCCTCTTCATTCTGCCATCAGTACAGGCGTACAGAAATCCGCTTGAACATGCACTAATATGTGCATAATACAGAAGCACACCCACACTATTATACTCATGGACTTGGGAAAGAACTTTATCCTTTCATTCATAAAATCGGCCCATTACAATTTCCAACACCACCGTACAATAGTAAAGGTGCGTTTAAAATGGGTGAAAAACCGCTCACTGGACCATATAATCGACGTCCAAACAGACCTTAAGGCCGCTTGTCTAATAAAAGATGCTATTACCCGCTCTTCCACAGGATACTTAACTGCAAAATCACTTTCTGATTCCCAAAAGCTGTTGGGCCTCACTGTCCCAACTCTACGCTTCATTCGACGGTACCCTACGCTGTTCGAGGAGTATCCTCACCCAAAATATCCTTCCTTGCCCTGTTTCAGGCTTACACAGTTGGCTCAAATTCTGCAAGAGAGAGAAATGAGAGTTTTTGAGGAGTGCGAAGGTGATACTGTGGAGAGGCTTTGCAAAGTGCTCATGATGACCCAGAATAAAGTGGTAAATTCCCCTCGACCCNTGAAAATGCAGAATATTGTTTAAAAACATCTGGGTAAAATGTTGCCTTCGACCTTTTATCTTCCAAACTTTCAGTTCATACGTGAATCCTTTTTGTTTTGAAATTATGGTGGTCAAGATCAAGAAGAAGTAATTGAGAAATGAGAGAAAAAGTAGCCTTAGCTCAGTGATTTGCATGAGTTAATATTTATCATAGTTATAAAACCTGGCCCGGACAGTCGGCCAGGAAAACTGGTGGCCCGGACCCTTAACCGGGCCGGGTAGGAAATGCACTTGACTTGGTCAATATTGGGCTTTGATCGAGTTAATCGGTGATTTACCCCGCCTAGTTGATTGGTTTGATTGAATTTTAAAATTCTCTTACAAAATTTTAAGGTTTAAGGGAATTGAATCTTGGACCTCTAAGGAAAATAACGGGGTCCTCACCACTTGAGATAGAGTGTTTTAATATTACTTATGTGGAAATAACTTATATATATTTAATGAATAATTTATAGGTTTTATAAAAATATTTTTTTAAAAAAATTTCATTCAACCTTATACTTTATTTTATAGACTTAAATAATCAGTGAAAAATAAATTAGAAATTTTAATTTTGCCTCTAAAACATAATTTATACTTTATATATATTTTTTAGTTTTTTATGCAATGACCACTGGTTGAACCACCGGGTCATCGGTTGAACCACTAACTCATTGACCCGTTGTATTGTCCGGGTTTGTGTTTGGGTCGAGTTTGACAACTATGATATTTATGCTTGGATTGCATGTGAACATAGTGAAACAACTTTGGTTGTGACACCATAAAGTCCCTTCAACATTTTTATATAACAAAAGTAAAATTTCCGTGAATACTTAATTATGAAACTATATCAGAGAGCCGGAAAATATAGAAAGCTTTGCTTTATCTGTGTTATTAAAGGGAAAAAATACAAGATTTATTTGTTTATTTCTTGGATTTGTAACCTTATGGTTTTACATGTTTACAGGTGCCTGTACAATCAAATGTAAGTAACTTTACCCTGAACCGATTGCCTAATGACTTTGACCGCAATTTAGTTAAAAAGTATCCAGAAAAATTTACGGTTGTTAAGGGGAGAAATGGATTGGACTGTTTGAAACTTGTTCAGTGGCAGGAAGAATTCTCAGTTTCTATGTTACAGAAGATCAACGAGAAGAGTGTACCCTTGAGCACAGATAATGCTAGTAGTATTGGTCTTGTTGGTTATGGGAGATTTAAGAAGGGCAAGGCGGCGTTAGAGTTCCCAATGAGTTTTCCAAGGGGTTATGGAGCACAGAAGAAGGTGAAGGCATGGATGGATGAGTTTCAAAAGTTGCCGTATATTTCACCTTATGAGGATTCAAGGGGAATTGATCCAAATAGTGAGCTTATGGAGAAAAGGGTTGTTGGGGTGCTGCACGAATTTTTGAGCTTGTCTATTTATAAGAAAACTAAAAGGAATTACTTGAGGAGCTTGAGGGAGGATTTGAATCTTCCGCACAAGTTTACTCGAATATTTACAAGGTACCCTGGGATATTCTACCTCTCACTGAAGTGCAAGACAACAACTGTGGCATTGAGAGAAGGGTATCGTAGGGGAAGACTGGTGGACCCTCATCCTCTTGCTCGCCACAGGGATAAGGTTCACTATGTAATGAGAACTGGGTTGGTTTATCGAAATAAAGCTGCAGATTTTTTACCCCAGCTTGACAATTTGGTTGATAATGCTGAGAATGATAATGCAGAAGAAGAATCTGATGAAGAAGAAATTGAAATGGCTGATGAATGCTATGATTCAGAAGCAGAAGTTAGTTCTGATGACGGTTGACATGTTAAAGAAGCAAGAATTTGTGGAAAAAGGAAAAGAGTTACCATCTTGAGGTAAGTGAAGATAACTGTGATGCAATTCATTCTTCATATCTTTGTTTTATTAATCAATGAGGATTGAATAGTTGATAGGTTGCTGGAGCTAGTTTTTAACCCCACTGGCCACTGCTAATACACTTGAAAATCTGCTGTGTTCTTTTGGAATTTTTCAACTCCATATAGTAAGAGCTTTACAGGTAACCCTACTCGCTAAGTAGGTGCAGCCTGTAAGATGGCATCTTCACTTCTATGAATGAATTGGAACTAGTTCTTTCAATCTAGTCAAAGCACCTGGGCGAGCTAGGCTGATAGCCTGGTCTATTGCCTAGGTGACTGGTGACACCAAGATATTAATCTCAATGTTCTTCTCTTCCATTCTCTCTTCCCCATTCTACCTTTTTCCTTTACTTTTGTTATATGTATTTTGTGTAACATAATTTTATTGTGCTGTTAAAAGAATATGTACATTTATTTACAAATGTAATTTTTAGTTCTGATAATGGCACAATAGTGCTCAAAATAAGTGGCAAGTTTCTCTATGGTATAGTAATAGAAGTGAAAATTTAGCTTCAAACCAGGGTCCCATAGGCTTTTGGCCCTAGCCTAAGTCTCAGTTGGGTGCCCTTCTGAATGTCAAAAAACTAATACTAGTCATGTAATCGACACTTGAGTTTCAATTCTAGAAGAGTAGTTTGGATTACATTTTTTTGGGAAAAAAAAATTCCGTGTAGAAATGTTCGCATTGCTATCTGATTTTCCTACGACATTTATTTTGTTGACAATATTCTTCTCCAGGAACTCAAGTTTGTGGAGCCAATTCTCTGAGCATTCTTGGTGAAACAATAAAATATAAATTCTCGTGACGCTGATTTTTGACTATTTCAAAATAATCAGGGTGTTCAAGAGAAGAAAATTGAAGAACAAGAACTAGTCAAGAAACATTTATAAGCAGCTTGTTCGATTTTGATGGTGGAATGGAAGATGATTGCAGATCTGATATGGAGTGTGTGAGGATATGACAGCCATCTTGACTGACTTCAGAGCTTGTTTTAGTTTTTTTGCTTATTATGAACCCAAGTAGTTGTGTAATGGTAGGATGTATGGTGTCTATGTTGTGAGGTCTAGTCAGGTGTAATTTGGAGACTTCAGCTCTAAAACTATCAGCAAACCATTGACAGGATGCACAGGCTACTACGGTCATTTTTGAATTGTATGATTTGTATCCTAAACTGCTTGTATACATTTTGTACTAAATGAAGTTACTCCTCTTTATTATTTATGCAATCAAACCCAACCAGTGCAGTTGAGTTGATCAAAGAGATCTTTCATTTTTTTTTCTTCTGATATGTTGCCCTTTCAATTTTTACAGTTGATAAATGTTGAAGTTGGCTCATTTTCAAAAAATTCTCACTGTTTAGCATAAGTTTGTAGAATTGGATATCATTCTCAGTTGCCCAGAAGCAAATCTTTTCACTTTTTTGTGAACTTTGATGAGAATTGTGAGGGTTCACTACAGGGAATTTATGGTCTGGTTATTCTTTGAAGTTTGAGATAATTGCAATTAAGAAAATTGTGCATCTATATACGTATTTGAACTATGAACCAACAATTTTGTTTTTTATTTTTTAAATAAAGTTTAAAAATTTATTATTTGACCTTTTGAAAAATAGTCGTTGTGGGACCTGATCAAACCATGACTTCTCTTATTTGTAAATAAGCAAGCAAAAGAGCTCTAAAATTGTGATTTGTCTTATTTCTCTCGTAAGTTCTTAGTTTATGGCCCAATCCTTAAGCCCATTAGAAGCGAACAAAATTAATTCGGGCCTGGACAGGGGACATATAAAGAGGACTTTCTCCTGCTAGGGTTTTACTTGTACTTACGAGCTCCATTGCGTATCAAGTTTTCTCTCTGCCGCCACTTCGTTCATTCTCAGGTTTCTATCGATTCCTGCCTTTCCAATTTATTGTATGTGTATTTATTTTCCCTAAATAAGTTCGTTTGTTGAATTGAAGGTAGATTGTAGTTTCTCTGAATCTCTACGTCGTTGATGGTTCTTTTTTGAATTTTATACGCTTCTCTTTATAGTATGCTTTGAGTAGTTTTGTATTGTTTTTGTATGACAATGTAATTCTGTATGCCATTCGGATCCCCGTTTCAGATTAAGAAATCGCTAGTTCAGCTCTTGTAAGCATTTAAGTTAGAATGTCCCTTTTTCTTCGTGGTAGAATTGAATCTAGAGACAGAATCTTGAACTTTTTATATTGTTTTGACTGTCAATATTTATTTATTTGCTGCTAGTCCATTTTTTATGTTTGAGGAAGATTTGGAAATTTTGATTAAATAATCAAGACTGCAGCAAAATATTTTTATCTTGTTTATTTATAAATGGTCTTGTAAAATTGAAGTATAATCATACTCGCCCTTTAATTTGTTTTTGTTTTTAATTTGATGCATGCTATCAGAATCTAAGTTCTCTGTGTCTTTGATCTGTAAAAAGTACCTAAACACAACAAATACGCCGCACTAAGGTTTCTGCATCTAAGCAAGATAGGAATCAAAGCCAGGATGAGCACAAGGAGATTGTTTAGCTGGAAGATTAGATGCTAGAGTGCAATCAAATTAGTGAATACAACTTGAGTTATTCCTTTAGGTTGATTACATTCCTCTTCATGCTAATTGTCAACTATAGTTTGTTCATTATTTCGGAAACTAGTCTACTTTTCATATATAATGAAGAAGAATGCTGATTGTTCATTCAATAGATGTGATGAAGAATTAATTACCTTTTGCTAATTTAGGCAACTCAATGTTATTACCTGATAGGTTTTTGTGGATAGCTTTGCTAAATCCGTTTGAGAACATTATCTTGTCCCTGTGTTGAAATGTGGGTTTGAACTGTTGGGACCGTACTCTTTTGCAGAATGGATTCACAGATCAAGCATGCCATTGTTGTGAAGATCATGGGCAGGACTGGTTCTCGAGGTCAAGTCACCCAAGTGAGAGTGAAATTCATTGATGATCAGAATCGATTCATCATGAGAAATGTCAAGGGACCTGTCAGGGAGGGTGACGTACTCACCTTACTCGAATCTGAGAGGGAGGCAAGGAGGCTTCGCTGATGACTTTATCTCTTATTGAGTTTTTGGTAGTTTGATATGATATTCTAAAGCAATTTTGCGTGGTTTATGCTTTTTTGGGAGTTCATAGTAGACTTTGGTGTGACTGTGGGATGCTGTTTTGTTTTCTCTTTCAATTCACTTCTATGCTCTTCGTTTATGTCAAAAAAAATCTGAGTTTGCTGCTTATGTTTCTTTAGACTACCATTTTGCTGCACTTGGTTTAAACAAGTGTATAAAACCATTTTATGCAGAGAGGTTTTTAATATTATTTTGTTAGTATTGATTTTGAAATTGCAAGCTAGAAGAATATATTTAGTATTTGAAAAATGCATTTCTGGGGGCCCCCATCTCAATTATGCAGGGTTTTGCTATTCGTGGCCCTGGACGAACATGGGGCGGGTGCCCCTGGAGTGACATGGCCCTCACTCCAGCAAAACTTTAGTTTACAATCCCCTAATCTTATCCTTGCCATACAAACACAATATTTTATTGGAAAAGGTATGATGCATGAATATCAGCATTTTGGATTCTTAAGAAATGGACAAAATGGATCATTTATCATGTGTTTAAAAGGTCTCTCTATCTCTCTCTCTTCTTGTATCTGCATATTAGTTGTACAAGTAAGCCCCTGTTTGATATCTTTTGCTCCTGAATTTTTTTTTCGTTTTTTTATCTACTCATTTTTAAACAAATATTCACACAATTGAATATTCTGTCCAAATTCAAAAAAATTTCGTACTTTTTAATTATACAATCTTGAGAAATTCACAATTCAAAACTTTATTTTTGGCAAATAATGGCCATCAAACAGGATTTAAAAGTTTCTATTTTAGTATGCATATTTGGGGTAAGAGAAAAAGGTGGAAAATTTCATGTGCATATTTTTAAGACTACCCGTCTTGTATGATTATTTCTTGTGTGTCTAAAAAAACTGTTGACTAATTTGCTCGATCCGACGATAAAAAAATCAATTGAGATACCAAACAATGGACAGGATTGTTGATTTTTAATTGCATCTTTTTGTCCTTTTGTTCCTTGTGGTCCACTTCCCCATCAATATCATTCCTCTCTAACTTACCAAGCAACCAATATATTTATTTAAGAGTGAGACTAAAATAAGAATCCCCACTTTACTGTGTATTGGCGACTTTTTCTTTATTATACAAAGTAACCTTCAACAAATCAAAGAGAAATTTGTAAAATAAAGTATGTAGTAGCCCAATCCAATCAATAAAGAAAGGGTTTTCCTTGGTGGGACATATGGACGGTTTTCAAGTCGTATGCTTATCGAGGATAAGATTTCAATATTTTCCTCCCAAAAGCTGATTCACCATCAGCATTCCAAGTGCAACAAGACATGGAGAAGGGGGTGGCCTGATCTCAATTGGATTCCACACTACACTCCATGAGAGCCACCTTTTAACAACACCAAGATTCATACCCTTTTGAGCCCTATATCAATCATTATTTCTTCAATGAAATCCTTAAACGAAATGGATCTTAAAGAGTGGGAACTTCTCCCTGATGATGGATTTCTCGAAATCCATGATGACGGAGGAAAGAAAATCTACTCTCGGAAGTATAGTAGTGTTCTAACTAGTGTTCTTGAGACGAATTACTTCGTCTGTCCACCTAAATCTAGTCCACAATTCGTCGAAACAACAACCAATCAACTTTTACCAGTTCCAATTCACTTAGATCCCATCATTATCAAGCCGTGTGATCAGGAGATACCTAAGCAAGTCCCCGCTGAGATTAAGATCATGCCATCAGTTTCACCGGAGAAGATCAAACCTTTTAATACCAGATCGGCTTCTGAAGCTGATGAAGACCCGGTTTCCCAAGTTTTCTTCAAGAAAATGAAGGAGCCTGAATTTGTCGACATAAAAGTGGAGTCACCCAAGTCTAGTAGAAGTGGAATCATGCCTCAGATTGATGGTACAGGCTTTTTTCCGTTTGAAGAAAATGGAGAGGCTTATAAAGTGGACGCTTTGGACAGCAAGAGTTGTGCATCGAAAGTAAAAGGTGATTCAGCGATGGATATGGAGGAAAATAATTGGGGATTAAATATATGGAAATGGAGTTTAACTGGAATTGGTGCTATTTGCTCCTTTGGAGTTGCGGCCGCCACTGTCTCCATCATCATCTTTGGGAGTCACCAAAAGAGTAAACAGCAGAATCAGAAGCTTCAGTTTCAAATCTGTACAAGTGACAAGGTATGTACCTCAATTCAGTTTTATCAACTGAATCCCTGTTTCTCACTCAATCAAGATTTCAAGAATGTTAGATCATACATTTGAAATCTCTATACTTGATTAAAACGGATTAATAACACGATCTTTTGTGGATACAGAGGATCAAGCAAGTCGTTCACCACGCAAGTAAGCTAAACGAAGCAATATCAGCTGTTAGAGGAGTTCCCCTGACTAGTGCACATGCTACCTTTGGTGGATACCATGAGGCTCATTGAAAGGGCAGAATTACTGTTTTTATCAGCATTACTTATCTCCTCATTAATAAGGCCATCCTGTAGTATAAAATGTTAATATTTGTTCATAGTGCTGTGTATGAACACATATCGAGTGTTATATGTTCATCATACAAGAGTGAGACTTGCTACCAGAAATGGTATTTGGCGAATTAGGCATATGTTCATGCCATTTTGTCAGCATCGGGTACTTGCCAATGTGCAATGATCAGATGTTGCCCTCTTGACATCGTTCGGTAACTTGGGGTGTTGGCTTGAAATCAGCGGATCGGCAACTGCTTGTGTGCACGGTGCTTGACGGAACGAGCAAACATAGACATTGAACCTTGTTGTGAGAGTGTTGTGCCATTTTGTTTGTAATGTGTGTGGCAATATAGTAGCAAAATATGGTGTTTGCTTAAAATTAAGAAGTGATAGCGAAGCACTTGTCGATTGTGGCTTCCATGTACCTACCCGGAAAAGTGTCCTTATTAGGGTAGAATATTACTATTTTATCCACTAGAACACCCCCCAAAAGGCAATACTTGTGAGGAATAAACTTTATTAAAGTATAATGATAATTTATTTATAAGATTAATTCCAATGAACACAACGTAAAAAGAGATCGGAATATTGGACTCAAATAAAAAGATTCGCAACATTTTAAATATGAGTTGTTTCAAGATTCAAGCGTAGCAAGTGAGAGCACTCTCCTTTCCTTTTGCAGACATTGTATTAGCCATCGAAAGCGACTGATTTAACAACAATATCATCTTCGTGTCCCACTCAATTGGCTGGCTGATTTGATGAATCTAATGCACCCTCGTATTTGTATTCGTATGTGTAGAATTGTGAAAAATGGCTTCGTGATGAGATGCAATTAACAGCGTTACATTTTTTTTCCAATTACCTAACTGTTATAGTGTCATGCTTCAATTCACTTGGAAGATAACAAATTTCGTTCTTTTAAACATTCTCTGCATCATTCATCTATTTCGTTTTGGAATCGACTTGCAGAATATACATACAATGGAAGAAATTAATTAATATTCAAGATAACGTCATCATGCAAAATCGTTTAGGATGTGTTTTATTACAAGTATGGAAAGAATTAAAAAAGTTAACAACAAAAAAATCACATATCCTATTTTCTCTAACCTATATCACTTATAAACCCTAATAAATGAATGACTATTGTGCCCTTTAAGATAAATAAATAAACTAAAAAAGGCAATAGCAAAAAGGTAAAAGAAAAATACAAATAATTTTTTAATTTTTTTTTCTCTCTTTTTGAGTGCTTTTCATTACTACTTTTATTTTAAGTTCAAGAGTAAGATCGACTGATCGAGTAAGATTTTCATTTTATACAAAATTAGTATATTTTTAGACAAAACTGTCTGTAGGGACTAAATCTGCTAATATTTTAAAGGTGGACTACAAACTAGATAAAAAAAATATTTCGGGTAGGTCTGCTACTTTTCTCAAAGATTGGGACGAAAAGTGAAATTTACTGAGTTTTTAACTAAAATTGTTTCTCTAAGTGACCGACCACTGTAGAAGATTGGTGCGGCTTCCATCTTCCCGTCTCACTCATGCCCATAAATTTGCAGTCCTACGGCTACCTTCTCTTGGGCCCCACGTCGTTTGACGGCGGTGGCACGCCCAATTTGATTGGTCCATGGGCATGGCGAGCTCTCCCTAGCCGCCGCTGCCGTCGCTTCACGACGTCTGCTACCATCAACCGCCTCCAAAATCACTATACCACTCTGGGCGTTTCTACAAATGCTTCCTCCTCAGATATTAAGAAGTCTTACCGTCTTCTTGCTCTCAAGGTACCTTTACATTAAGGGATTTTCATCATTTTGATTTTGCGATGGGTTTTGTTCCCCGGGAACAAATCGACGTTTTGGCTACGGTATTGACACTGTTGATATCGATTCAACTTGGGAAAAGAGAATAAATAATGGATTGATTGTTCTTTTCAGTTTGTGGTTGATTGTTTTTGCTTTAGAGAAAGATGTTGGATTTGAACGTGGACATAATATACCATAAAATGCTTATAATAGTTCGAGAAAGGAACATCACAAAAAGGAGAATATCTCTGGGGGCAAGTGCTTACATTTTGTTACTTTTTCAAGTAAGATTCCAAGGTTGAAAAATAATTACTAATTCTTTTGGTCGAGGATATCTCTTCCGAGCCACATAAAATTCAATTTATTTGTATGTGTCATGGAAATATTTTCCATGTACCTACTTGTAAAAATCAATCTTTTATCAGAAGGTGGTTAGGACTTGGGAAATAGGCTCCTGAAGACTGCATTAGGAGCAGGGACGGACCCAGCATTTGAGTTCAGCCCGGGCGGACGTTGACGGATCAACGTTGAATTCCGAGCCACAATTGTGCAGCAAAGCACCTGCGCAGCCTGGTCAACAGCTTTACCTGTCGTAAACCTCCCCACTTTGCCAAACTTGCTTTTGAGCTCCGGATACTTGACCTCCCACCCCCCCTTCACCCTTTTCCCTTTCTCGCCACCCAATTCTTGGTGCCTAGTAGTGAAAACTGCCCTACTCACCCCACCATTACAATTTCCCCTATCAACATTTTCTGTTTTTGACATAAGATTTAGATCCGAGCCCAGTTCCGAGCACTTGGAAAGGGACCTATTCAAATTACGAAGAACATTCTTTTTTGAAGGTTTGGGCAATGGCAGAATTATTTTACATATTCCAGAAGCACTAGCTTCTTCCTCTATTTTGGATATATACGCAATTGAGTCTGCAAATTCCGTGTCCGTTGGGCAGAATTCAGGTGCCATTGCCAATCCTTTAAGCCACTTTGGTATTTCCACATCCTTCCATTATACCACCAAAAATTCAACCAGACTCGATCCCTTGTAACTGAAGTACACAAAAATAAACCCAAGGCTACTGCATTGCACTATTAAGTATTAAGATTGAAAACGACCATGGATAAAAACTATAGTTCAAATTTTCATGAGTCTCCTTATGTGAAATGGAACCACGCTGATTATTATTATTATACCAAAGAAAACTAAGAACAACCAACAAATACAATAACACAATATAGCATATAATCACCAATGTTTCGTAATTGATTCTTTTTCTTCCAACTCACATGTCTAATGGGAAGGTGTTGAATTAAGAAAAGGCAAAACACAGAATTTAAAAGTAACTCAGC